ATAAATTAAACTGTACTAAAACTAAAAAACAAAATAAATAAAAAGGAAAAAAGCTTGGATTGCCTCCCAAGAAGCCCTTCTTTTACGTCATTAGTTGACTTTTTGCAGTGTTTGATCATAGTGGCTTGAACCAAGTTGTGTCATCATTGTAATTTGTGCAATTTTCATTTATGCGCCATTTTTTTTGCTATCCATATTTTAATATTTCCATTTTCATCTCTAATAAGAAGTCCACCGAAATTTGATTTTCTATTCTGACATTTCGTTGATCAAGTGGCTCTTCTTCGTAAATTTTACAGCAATTATTGTTGTTGGAAGGTTTCTACGGCAATAATTTTTTTTTTTTAACCACACGTTCTTCAAAAAATTACTGTTGTAAAATACATTTTTTCCACTCCACAGGATCATATTTGTTGACTTGTATTTTCAGTGGGACAAATATCCTATAATCTAGGAATCCTCTACGATCAACCAAGTCCCCATCATGGTTGTTGACTTGTCTTTTCAGTGAGAAAATTATTGCAATCAAAGAATCCTGCGCTTATAAAACAAGTGTGTGTGTGTGTAGTTAACACGTGACATTTCTTGAGAAATTTCATTAGTTTGAGTTGAAAGAAGAAGGAGAAAATATGTGTAGAGTTGTGAGAGTTTTTTCATTGGGATGGGTTGTGATGATGATTATGAGTATTAGAAATGATCAAGTAGCAGATGGTGCAATTTCTCAGCATTTGATGGAAAAGATTTATATGATAAACAACAAGGGTCCTTACTTGGGTATAGTAGTGCCCAACAGTTTTGAGATGAACCCTCTTCTCCAATCTTCAAGTTTTGTTCCTTATCCCATGCTTCCCTACTTGGATTTTGCAGGTATACAATTATTCACTTGAAATTTAATTTATTGCTTACTTTTATTTTGTGGAAGATGAACTATTTCGAACCAAAAGTTATAAAATAAATGTTATAATCTTGTCTAATATCGCATATATAGCGTCCTTTAAATATTTTTATTGTATGACATATGTTCTAGTATGTCATAATTTATATTGAACTTAAAAATGACCACGAGTCTATGTTTTTTAATGTCTATAATTAGAGTAGTTGGAATATGTTTTGCATGTACCTAAAAAGATTTTTGTTTATAATGGTGAAGTGATTTCAAACGAATATGTTACTAAACATCCAAATTCATTAGGTATTCCAGCAGATACATCATTGAGAAAAGTTTTGATAAATTGTATTCGCTGTAACTATACTCTCACTTATTGTTAATGAGGAAGTTGTATTAAACTTTAATTAGAGTACTAACTCTACGTTAATTAATTTCAATGATATAACTATACTTTGAATTGATTTCAACAAAGGCAATTTCGTTAAATTCCACGGACAAAAACCGATGATGTTACAATCAATAAATGGTGGTCATCACACGCAATTTTTATTTATTTATGTGAATTAAGTACAATATTATTGAAATAAATGACGATAATCATTTGTTGATGTCACGCCACCGGTTGCCATCAATCCAAGTGATGGAAATGGACACGGTAATATGATTGAAATCAAATAAAATTTTAATAGCCCAATTGAACATAATTGAAGTACGATTACATGATGGAAATATAGTTACCGGAGTGAAATTTACTCTCAAAGTTATATTGGTGAAAAATGATTCACGTAGTTAATGTGGAATATTAATTAATATTGAAAACAATACTTTTATATTGTTGTTGTTGTTTCTTAAAATATGTTTGATCCACCAAATCTTCAAGGAGACAACAGGAAAGGGCATAATCTCCAGTCATAATATTCCAAAATCTTATGCTTATTTACTTCATCTTTTGCATCTAAACAGGAAGAAGGTTTCGAATTGGAACCTTGGAAAGTCGAAAAGTTATTGTTGTCATGACCGGACTCAGCATGGTGTGTTCATTTCCATAATATCCCACTTATAAGGAAAATAAATGATATATTTGTTTCTTTCCATTTCTTTTAGAAATACAACCTAATTGAGACTATTTAAAATTATTATTTTATAGTTTAATGCAGGGATAGCAACACAGTTGCTGCTAAGTGTATTCAAGATTGAAGGAGTAGTTCACTTTGGAATAGCAGGAAATGCAAATCCTCAATTCCAAGTGGGAGATGTTACTATCCCTCAATATTGGGCTCACTCAGGCCTCTGGAATTGGCAGGTACCCATTTTATGGTTTCTTTTATCTTAGTTGTCAAAAAGTCAAGAGATAAAATCCTATGTCGAATAAAGATTAAAAATATAAATATCGAATAAAGATGAAAAATATAAACTAATTTATAAGGATTTGGATTATCCTCTTCAAAAAATGTTGACTTTTTAAAATGGAACCCCAAATTTTAATATGGTATCAGAGTCACTAATTTCAAAATTGATTTTATCAAACGAGTCACCATCTTGGGGGAGCATATTAAAGGATAAAATTCAACATCGAACATAAATGAAAAATATAGGGTAATTTATAAGGATTTGAGCTACTCCTCTTAACAAAATTGTCTTTTTAACTTGGAACCCCCATGCCTTAAGAAAAAATAGGTTTCAATACATACTCCCAACACATACGTAACCGATAAATCAAATGAAATAAATACATGTATGGTTCTTGTTTTATACCTAAGTGAGCGATGTTTTAGCAAAACCGTTTCTTTTATGATTATGTATTTGCTTAATCCACAACAATCTCCTTAATTTGCTTAAAATAAGCATAGTCCCTAATAACTATCTCTCCATTCGATCTCTATCATTCAGTAACACGTAAAACCCATCGGTATCCAAAATCGATTTAGATGTTATGAAAACTGTAAAAAAAAAGCCGAAAAACCACGTAGATCATTTTCATGTGTAGTGTATTATCACTTATATTGCACATTTTTATGATCAGCGGTTTGGAGATGGACCTGATGATGAACTTGCATTTGAATCCAGTGGAGACTATACAAGAAAAATCGGTTACCTTAATTTCTCCGAGTATGAAAATGGGACAAGAAATCTGAATTATTCAGACAACCTTCTCAACAACGTTTGGTATCAACCGGAAGAGATATTTTCCATTGATGGACAACCTGAGATTAGACAGCATGCCTTTTGGGTTCCTGTTGACAAGCTCTACTTTTCACTTGTAGACAAACTTGAGGTTGATTTTACCATCTTGGCTTAATCTTTTGATCACTAAAGTTTATTTACTACCATGAAATTTTACTAAAAAACTTAAAACTAACCATGAATTTGCTTAGCCTAGAAGATCGACTCATTTGTTTACTTAGATTTAGTTTTGAATCGTTTGCTTGTACAGGATATTGTCCTCGAAAGCTGTGTCAATTCTACTACGTGTTTACCTCGACCTCCAAAGGTAATTAGAGTGGAAAGAGGGGTGAGTGCTAATGTGTTGGTAGACAATGGTGCCTATCGAGATTTCTTGCATTCTAAGTTCAATGCAACTCCAATCGACATGGAAAGTGCCGGAGTAGCCCTTGTATGTCTCCAACAAAAGACGCGATTTATAGCAATTAGGGCACTATCTGATTTAGCAGGTGGTGGTTCTTCTCTCTCTAATGAAG